GGAATGGGCTATGATGGCCACTGGGACTTCACCCCTTAAGTGCATGAATTGCTCCTGGCCTCTCATATGGGCCAATCTGGTCCTCCCAGACCCTATCTGAATCCCTCAGCTTTGAGAGGGAAGTGGGCCTAGACATGAGGGCTGCCAGACACTCCTGTGGGCTGGTCCCAGCCTCTCCACCTTGTTCTCACGGTGGTTCCTGTGGTGGGGCCGGCACATGATGAGCAGGGAAGGGGCTCTGATGACGTGTGTGTCAGGCCATACAATGTTGGTAAAACTGAGACTCAGATGCTAGTGACAAAGTGGGGATTGGCCGTGACCCACGGTGCCTCCCTAAAGACCAAGGCAGGAACACTGTGACACCTGGAGAGACTACGGCCATCACAGGACCTCTGCCCACTTCAGGACTAACCAGTGCTTGAGGCCACCCTCATGGACAGGTGGCTCACCCTGCAGCATGGATCTGGACCCCGCAGGGCCTGCTCCTCTGCTCCCACCACCTGCGCCTGAGCCTGAGGGCAGCACCATGGGGTAACCCCACCTGCAGATGGGCCTCTGGACACCACCTTTGCAGGGCACCTGCACCAGGGCCAGGTGTTTCATCTGAGGCTGGCTCTAGGACCAGCTTATTCTTTGGCCTAAACTGTGGGTCCACAGCTTACCACTCTGTTGTAGGGTAGCTTACGAGGGGGAGGGGGGTAAGAAATACAGTCCCCTGACTCCCCATGAGCCCTCCAGCCTCAGTTTTCTCATCTGTCAGCTGGGATGGGATGGTGTCAGGGTCTCCACAGGTCTGCACACGTGCTCCCAGCATCTCCCTAGGTCTCTAGTCCTGCTGAGGGACATACTAGGCAAAGGAACGCAGGGCCTCCTCTTGGTAAGCCTGCTCACTGCCTCCTGGTGAGAGTATGCCCTGCTCTCCCAGGGACTCCTGACCTGCTGCAGGGGCTCCAGCAATACCTCAGCCTCCAGCAGCCTCCCCTTTCTGGCCAGGCCTTGGATGTGCCCCTTGCTTTCACTAAGGGCCTGGTGCAGGGTGTCCAGCTGCTCCAGGGAGGACACAGGGCCCACGTGGGAACAGCGTGTGTGTAGTGGGCACCTAGGGCCTCTGCCCTGACTATCCTGCAGTCTGCGCTGCTGGGATACAAACAGGCAGGACAAAGTGAAGAGCAGGTCAAGTTTCTGACATGACCCTGAGGCCTGTGGACCTCCAGAAAATCTGAGGTGGAGTCAGGAGGGCGAGCAGGCCTATGGCACTGGCTCAAGCTCTGCAGCTTCTCTGCTGTGAAGAGTGGTCTCAGAGGATGTGGCTGCCGCATCCTCGCCCTGCCCGTGGGATGAAGACCACCACAGTCCTCCTGAGGTGCCCTCCTGCCACCCCAGCCTCATCCTCCACAGGGACTGCCCACCCTGGTGGGTCTCAGATTGAGCTTGGGAGCCCTGGTGCCTAGGAGGTGGGTGGCCCTGAGCCCCTGACTCCCCCATGGCCCCATACCCTTGTCTGCACCCTCAATGGCCTCACTGCCCAGTGTGGCCCAGGTGGTGGCACGAATGCTCATGCCGCCCTGTGGTCCAGGCCACCTCCTCTGCCTTCAGGAACTTGCCAATTTCCCAACCTGCACTGGCAGCTGCCTCTGTTCTCATGCAGGGCTGTGCATGTGCTGACTGCTGCCCTCCGCTGTGCCGGCTGCCTCACACCGAGGCCCTGCACTGTGCTTTCTCTCCTGCTTGCCAGACTCCTGCCCCTGTCACCCTGTTGCCTTGAGCCCCCCAGAAGGAGGATGGCACCTGTGGTGTCCGCTGAGCCCTGGAGGAAGCATGGGCTCTGCTGGGCCTGGAGAATTCTCCAGAATGTGCGAAGGAGCCTGTTACCAGGAACTTGCAGCCCTGCCTGTCACTGCAACTCACCTTCATGCACTGGCAGGTTGCTGGCCTTTGACCCTTCCTGAGTGTTTTGTGGGAGAAGCAGCCAGTTCCTTCTGGGAACTGTGGACTTGTGCTGAATGTGGCCAAAATGAAGGCCAGGCATGGGGCCAGAGATGGCACCCAGAAGGCCATGGTGATGTCCACACATAAGGTCCTGGTGGCTTGGGCTCGAGGGGGCAGAAGAGGCAGAGTGTGGTGTGGAATTTGGAATAGACTGAAGGGGCCAGTGTGGGATCAGGAAGCAGGTGACATCCAAAAGTTCCCAGGCTTGGGCCACTGGGTGATGATAGGGATGGGGTGGGGTAGGGAGCAGGTCTGGGAGGAAAGCTCAGAGGTCAGTCCTGATGGGCTGCTCTGGAGGCTCCATGGCGGCCTTGGGCTCTGATGGTCAGGTGGGAAGCTGCCCTGGGGACAGGGGAGCAGGGGAAGAAAAGGGGCCCACTGAGCAGGTGTGAGAGGCGGAAAGGAATATTAGGGCTAGGTGGCCCAGAAAGGACCAGGAGGGCTTCAAGAGGGAGGGCGAGGCCATTTCCCCATGCAGGATGCTCCAAGGGGTCAGTTGGACAAAGACCCCCAAAGGAACTTTTGGATGGGGCCAGATGGCTGGTGACCTTTGCAAGATAATGGAAGGAGGGAGTCCCTGCCACGAGTCTGGTAGGGGGCAGCAGAAGGGTGGAGGCAGCAGGGTGCTTCCCTGGGATGGGGGCTATGGAAAAGCATGAGGTGCAGGGGCCCGAATGGCTCAGCTCCAGCAGACAAGAACAATTCCCAGCAGCTGCAGCTGCAGCTGCAGCCCTTCCCTGGTGTCCTGTGTTTGAAGAGCTTTCCCCATATCCCCCACCAGGGGTCACCTGATGGGGAGGGGGAAGCACAGAGCTGGGGGTAGGATGGCCCCCCTTCCAGGTGCTGTGGGGGAAGGGATGGACCCTACAGACATTTTTTGGTCCAACACCTTTTCCTTTGGCTTGTACCTAAAAGTGTGATGCTCGCCCTTCCGTGCAGTGGTCTGTTAGTACACATTTTCCAGTAGAAAAGCATAAGTTTCCCCTAACGTGCCTTAAACATTTCATGGCAGTTTTAGGAGGTCCCGAGCCAATTATGGGAAGCATCACACTCTTGTAGTGACTCCACTTTCATGGAATTCACATTAACTGTAGGAATGGGTGGTCTGCCCTTTGTGAGTGCCCCTTGGCCCTGCTGAGTTATTCTCGTCTCTGTGTGGCTGTCCACCTGATGCTGTGTGAGGAAGGCTGGCAGACCCAAGTTCAGTCTGAGAGGTTAGTGGCTGGGAAGGTAAATTACAGTCCCTTGCCCAGAGCTGAGCGCCAGGGCTGGATGTGGGCTCTAGTTGCCTCCACCTGGGAACCTGATCAGGACAGAGCCTGGGCTTGAGGCAGAAATTGGGGTTCTTGTCTCAGTTTCCCATCTGTGGAATGAGTGTGATGTACAGCATCCTTGTCAGGACCAGAGGAAGGACAGGAGGGTGGCTACAGGTTGGGGGAGTCTCTGCATCATATCCCCCACTCAGGGGTTATTATAAGTGTGGGTCTTGCATGCAAATAGCTAAGTGTGGGGAGAGGGGCCTGAGGTCCCCTCACAGACTGTGTGCTGTAGGGAGGAGCACAGAATAGCCCCTAGAACCAAAACTCGTCCTTTGGGCCCTTAGAGTACAGGTCCTCAGCCCGATACCTTTCTATCCAGCGGTGACAATGGGGAATTCAAATGTCCGCTCCCAAGTACCTCCTGGGCTCCCACCACCAGATCCTGCCCTTAGGCCAGTCACGGAACAGAACTAGCTCTGGAGAGGCCTTGGACAGAAGGGGACTGAGGCCCTCACCTCCATGCAGTGTGACTGTGTGGCCCTGACCCTGCCAGCGGGGTCATCCTTGCCCTGTCCTGTGCTGCTGCACTTTGTCTGCCCGCTGGGCCATCTCGCTCACAGTGGGTTTACTACTCTCTCTCACAGTGTTCTTGGAAACTCTTCAATATCTAGTCTTTCCTATAAACTTTTCGATTAGCTTGTCCAGTTGCTCTCTAAACACACCACAAACAAATAGACAAGGCCAAACCAATAGAAGGGAAACAACCAACAAGCAGCTGACAAACCAGAACAGAAACAGATCCACACAGAAGCTGATCAAAAGAAAACCTCCCCCGCTGCCCCCACTGCTCCCACTGCCATAGCCAGGGCCCCTCCGCAAGGCTGAGCGTGAGCAGTGGGAGCAGGCACAGCCCAGTCATGTCTCCAAATAACCCTTGAACTAAAGAAGTAAAAGTGGAAACTCCTAAAAAATTGGTTAAAAGGAAAAAAGTTCATATCAAAAAACTATGAGCCACATAGGGGACCACAATAAGGGAACATGGCAACATTAAATGCTTTTAACATTGGTAAGAGAAAGCATAGAGAAGTCACTACTCTATTTAATAAATCAGAAAAATTACAACAAGGAAGATAACAAAAGGCATGTTAATGTGGATAAAAACTGAAGTCTATAAACTAGGCAAAAATTGAGAGAAAGGATAAAAGTTGATGGCTTGAAAAGACCAACAAAACAGATGAACTATTAGCCAGTCAGATTAAGAAAAACAAAAATCTCCAACACCGAGGACAGAAACAGATAGAAGTACATATGTAAATAAAATATCAACTACACGTCCGAAGCAGATATAACTACCAAGAAAACCTGAGTATACATAAATAAGAGGATGCTAAGTAAGTAAACTGCAAATCCTTGGCACTGCATTTAAGATATACTTATATAAGATGAATCATTTAGTTCCAAGTGACAAAAACTGACCCAGGAAGAGATGGAAAAGTATAACAGTACCGCACAGAAAAGATATGGGGGCGGGAACTAAAGGGTGTCGTCTCCGACATCAGGAGCCGCAGTGTTTACAGGGGAGGTCAATTAACCTTTTAGGAAAACTTACTATGTTATTTTGACTATTTCAGGTAAAAGAAAAAGGTAGAAAGCCCACCAATGTATTTTATAACATAAAATGCTCTTAACACAAGGAAGTCTGCAACATATGGCAGCATTGTATAAAGGAACTACAGATGCAAACATTTTTGACAAAACATGCATAATCAGCTCTACAGCGTAGGCATCCCCAACCCCTAGGCTCCCCACCAGCCCGTGACATAGGCCATGGAGTTTGCCTCCAGAACCTGGGTCCTGGTACTAGGAGCTGGTGGGTCGGATATGGCATGCCTGGGCACAGGGAAGGGAGGAAGCGTGGGTAAGAGTCTAAGGCTGCTGAGAGCCGCTTTGAGCCACCAAGCCTGGGATCAGGCGCCAGTGGGGGGATAACATCGGCGCCCCTATACACGGTGTGAGGAGGTGTCTGTGGGTGATGCTGGGCGGGCGCCGGTCTCCCGCCTGCCTGGAGGCCCCCTGCTGTGCTGCTGGGCGCGTGTCCTTAGCTGGGCTTGGGTCTGTACTGTTGTTCTACTGAGTTCCCAGGGTAGCCCTGGAAACGGGGAGGGATTTGCTCTCAAACAAGAATCTCACTGTTTGCACAGCACAGCCTACCATTTAATTAGAAAAATATGTTTTTAATTAACTTTCTCTTAGCAAACACATTGGCTTATGTGGAATGGGGGAAAACCAATCTGTGTAAGTGAAAGGAGCTGTGTCAGAGGCAGGGCTTGCTCCAGAATGAGCTGGAGGCTGGGCAGAGCCTGGAGAGGCCAGGCCTGCCCTGCGGGGTCCCTGCAACCTGGCCTGGTGCGCTGAGGGGGTACCAGGCCATGGGAAGAGGCCACGTGCCTAGCCCCTGGCTGGCTGGAAGCACTGTGGCCCTGAGCCATGGCCTGGAATTGCTGTTTGTGACAAGCAGGGGGCTTTCGGTCAGGTGGTGATTTAGGTGAGTTTGGCTCCTTCCTCCAGGCACCCACCACAATGACCAATAGATGACAAAAAATTAGGAAAATTTGCCAGAGGTAGAGACTAGGTGCTTTGAGGGGCCTAAGGGCAGATAGGGTCAACTTGGCCTAAAAACAAGAGAAAGGGTAATTTCCAGAATTATATTAAAAATTGAAATGATATTGATAGATTTCAGCATACTTTGCCAAATAATTGAGTAAATTCTAGATCAAGCCTATGCATTAATATGGATAGAGCAGATCTGAACACCACCCAGAGGAGCCCTCTGTACATACATGTGTGTGGAGACCCAAAGTGGAACCCTCAGCACCCAGAAACCCTGACTCAGACAGATGAGGATGGAGGGAGGCCGCGGGGCTGTAGTGGACATGAGGCTTACAGCAGCAAAAACTGTGAAAGGGAATCAATATCAGAGCAATGTTTTGGCCACGTTTTTGAATTTCAAAGACAAATAGACCTTCTGACTTCTACTCTGGAAAGAGAACTGACAAGAAAAAT